GCTCAGCATACTCTCTTACCTGGACTGGGGTAGTAGCAAACCAAAGCCTGAGGCTGTAGAATGTATGTAAGCACACTACCTCTGTGGTGGCTATTCCAGAGCTGCAAACTCTGCACCAGATGTGCCTGGGGGTGGACGTGACTCCCAGAATTATGAACAAATAGATCAAACTAAAAAGAGTTTGTGGAAGATCTCTTCCCAGGTGCTTGTCAAGAAGACGCCTCACAGAGTCATGATTTTAAATTTCAGCATTAAAAGGGTTGTCTAAAACCCACACAATAAGAAATTAACAAAATATAAATTTGTAAAAGTATTTTAACAAGATTAGTAGGTACAGATTAGTAGAAATGGTATTTTAATTAACCTTGATATTACAGCAAGATGGCAACATTAAATATTTTTCAACTGTGAATCATAAGAATGACCTTATAAATAGAGACTTCATTTCAGGGCTTTCAACAGAAATTTACATTGCTACTAATTCATACCATTGATAATTTACTCTGAGAAAATGATTACTGAAACTTGGCATTGCTTAAACACTGTAAGGATCTTTCATTTGAAAGTAGGAGAGAATGACAGTGTTGCTGATGTATTATTAATTTCTAGTATCTGATTTTCTAATACCTGTTTTTAAACTGATTTAACTCTTAAAACTTGGCTTGCCCAAACATTTTACTGATGTTTTAGCATGATGAAAAGAGGACTCTTTGAGTTGGAAGTCATGTAATTTTACTTGACTTGTTTTTAAAAACTCATAGGCAGCAATATTTGAAATAATTTAAAAAATCACTGAAACTTCAGTTGAAGTAAATGGGATTGTATTTAAGTAGCTTATATTTTACTTAGTTTAAGTGGTAAATTATAACTTTGGATGCTATTTAGATATTTGAACCTTCACTAATAATTGTATAATTTGTGCCAAAGGGCTTCATTGCATTTTTAAATAATAGATTTATAATGTGAGACTGAAAACTAAACATAAAGAATGAAAAGATCAGGAGTGTGAGGAACATAAGGAGGAAGCTGCATCTCCTTAGGGTCTCGGGGACCAACTGTAAATTCTAATGTATTCCAAGATAAGTGGCTAAGGAAGAATGTGTACTGAGTTATCCTCCTTGAGTATTTCTGTTAGTTAGGGTGGTAGTGGTGGCAATGGTAAATGGATAATCTTTGGGTACAAAGTCATGTGGAAGAAAGTGAACAATAGGAGAATTTTGCTAGTCAGAGATCACTTGTGTTAATTACTTAAAGTATTTTAAAAAAGTAAGGGTAGATCCCATGCCAATGTCAGTCAATATATTCCACTCTCCTTTCTGTTTCAAGTTACAGACAAAACTTGTTTCTTCTCCATATACTGTCTCTCTTAAATTTTGAATATTGCTTTCCAAGCATCATTAGTAAAGATTTCAGATCATGGAATAAAGTCCTAGGTGAACTTTTGTGTAGTAGTCCCTAAAGAAATCGGCCCAAGAAAGTGAGAGGGAAGGCAGGAAGAATAATGTTTAGAAAGTCAACTGGGGTTATTTTATTTGATTGGGTGGCAAGGAACTGTCCCAGCCAAGGGCAAGGAGGCTAGAGAGAGGTAGGGGGACAGTGATATCAGAGGGACTATTCCAAGTTAAGGAGACTGTGTCTGACTTGTGAGGACACCTGGCACTGTTAGGAATTGAACACCTGTATTCACACACCCCTTGAAGGCAGATTAGAGGTCAATGGATTTGCTCCAATGTTTACACATAATTGTGAAGCACATATAAGTACATTGTTATTTAACTAAATAAAGCATTGATATTGTGATTATTTCCCTCATAAATCAGAGTGTGTAAGATCATTCCTATAACTTCATTCTTATTCATAAGCACATATGCCTTCTTGACTTAACAATACATAGTTTTTGAAGAATTGCACAAAGCTCTGGATTGCAGCGAGTGTGCAAGAAACAGACACACCCTGTGAATGCCCAGGTGGGAACATTAGTGGTACATATGGATAGGGGTAGAATAAAGAGAACCTCTGATATAATCCAGTAAAGGTCCATTTTTCCAATTAAATTTATCAGCTAAATATTTGCCTTTTAAATGCAATATATTACTAGACACAGCAACTAGATAAATCATATCAGTCATCATGTTTTAAAGTTGTTTTCCAGACTGAAAGGAAAGTACAACTTTACCTCTATATACACATTAAGCTTTTTAAATATGTCCATTGTGTAGGTTAGGACTAGGATTACAGGCTTCAGATTTAAAGAAAGGATAAAAGTGTTCTAAGATGGCAGCATGAGAAGTGAGGCAGAAATCTCCTCCCCAAATCACATATATTATGAAAATACAGCAAATACAACTATTCCTCAAAGAGTGACCAGAAATAAGATTGCACCAGCCAGTCTATATCTGGGAGAAGAAAACATCTCACAGAAAAGGGTAAAGTAAAAAAGCCACAGCCTGGTAGGACCCGAGTTCTCCCCCTACCCCAGCTCCCTGGTGGGAGGAAGAGAATCAGAGTGGGGAGGGAGTAGAGTGCAGGACTGCTAAATACCCAACCCTAGAAATCTACTCCGGGAGCACAAACCCACATTGCATGGCACTCTGGAGACTAGAGGGGGTGAAAAACAAAGTCAGAAGCTGAGACTGTGAACAGGTTCCACAACCAGCTGCCTGGGACAAAAGAAAGGTGGGTGCTTTGAGAGACTTCCCAACATTGAGAGGGCTGCTAAAGGGGCAAGGGTTTAGGAGACAGAACAGGTGGACAAAGTCGTCCCTGCACACTCAGCTCAACAGGTTGGGAACTTTCAGCAACTTCAGGCACTCCATCCCCCTGGCTGGCAATTCAGCCAAGGCCTCTCACCCTGATAAGCAGCCTGCCTCTCTTCTTCCTCCCTGCTGGCATCTTCAGGCAAACATGCTGTCCCCACCATTGCTTCAGACCAGCCAGAGGGCAGCCCCACATACAGCAACTACATGGCTTAACATAGAGGCTTCTCCCCATGCAGGGCTAACCGGCCCTGACAGCGGAGGCAGGCACTGTGGCAGGGAAACGAAAGGGCTCTGTCCTCCTGGCAGACAACAACGCCGCTCACCTGAGACCCCTGCCATTGCCCTGGGCCATGCCAAGGGCTGCTCCGCCCATGGCAATTTAGGGGACTAACCCAGAGGGCACTCTTGGTGCACGGCTCACTGGCCCTGACAGCAGAAACAGGCACTGCGGCTGGGAAGCAGGAAATGGCTTTGTCCTCCAGGCAGACACCTGTGCTGCTCACCAGTGACCCCCCCACAGTTGCTCCAAGCCAGCAGGAGGGCCACCCCACCCACAGCAATTCAGGGGATTAACCTAGAGGCCACTCTTGGGACCCGGCTCACAGGTCCTGACAGTGAAGATAGTCACTGTGGCTGAGAAGCAGGAAAGGGCTTTGTCCTCTTGGCAGGCACTGGCGCCACTCATCTGCAACCACTGCCATGGCCACAAAAAGAGCCTCAGTAAATTAAAAAAGATAGAAATTGTACCAACCAGCTGCTCAGATCACAAAGGTATGAAACTATAATTAAATTGTACAAAGAAAACAAAAAGGCTCACAAACATATGGAGGCTTAACAACATGCTCCTAAATAACCAAGGATCAATGACCAAATTAAAACAGATCAAGCAATATATGGAGACAAATGAAAACAGCAGCCCAATGCCCCAACTTCTGTGGGATGTAGTGAAGGCAGGTCTAAGAAGAAAGTGCATAGCAATTCAGGCCTATTTAAAGAAGGAAGAACAATCCCAAACTAACAGTTTAAAATCACAATTATTGAAACTGGGAAAAGAAGAACAAATGAGGCCCAAAGTCAGTAGAGGAGGGACATAATAAAGATCAGAGAAGAAATAAATAAAATTGAAAAGAATAAAACAATAGAAGAATTAATGAAACCAAGAGCTGGTTTTTTTTGAAAAAATAAACAAAATAGATAAACCTCTAGCCAGACTTATCAAGAAAAAAAGGGAGTCTACACACATAAACAGAATCAGAAATGAGAGAGGAAAATCACTATGGATACTACTGAAATACAAAGGATTATTAGAGAATACTGTAAAGAAGGGTTGAAAGTGCACACATATGGAGGCTAGCTGGTATTAGCAATAGAAAGATGGTTCTTTTACTATATAATCATGTAATGAACACTGTCCTTCAGTAGCAATTTCAGTTTGGATTTGGAATGTATTATGTATTTTTAAATGAATATGGAGAGTTTTGTATTTGGGGGATCACTTCTGAAAACCTAATAAAACCTGCCTCAGGTTACTCAAACCCCTCTGTTACTTTAATTTTTCTCACCATTCTCTTCAATGGATGCATGTTTAAGTCTTCCCTGTAGTTGGGAAGATGACTTTTACACCTTTATAAGGGCTACATCAAGAACAAGTCAAGACATTAAAATATTTAGAAAAAAACTTGAGCATATTAGAAACCATTAAAAGTGAAGTTCTTGACACTCAGCTCATGGAAGGCCTTGAAATGCGCTTTATTAATTCCATTTTCAAATATCCAGACAATGTAAGTTATCAAGGTGAATGGTGATCAGATTATATTTAAAATTTATTTTAAGACACTTGGAAAGAATTTAAAAGCTATAGAAAGTACCTTAAGACCTAATTTAAAAAGTAATATCCTCTTATTGTAAAATACCTACAAAATAGCTAGAATAATATAAAAAATCCTCTAGAGTTAAACCATTTATGAAATAGTGTGTAACCTACTTTTAAATATTTATGTTATTTTTTCTCTTTTTTATTAATATTTGTATTGTATATTTTTAAAGTATAATTGGAGTATAACAATTTTAAATGCCTTTTGTCATTTCATATATAATAAACATTTTATAGATCATCTAATTTTTTTACCATATGATTTTTAATTATATCTATGTAGGATAATAAAGACTTTAAATGCGTATTCAATTTAACCAGAACTTACTGTAATAAATTATTTATAGATTTTTTTCCCCCTTGTGTAGGTTTTAGATACTTGCACAATGAGAATGAACCTAACTTCACCAGCCAGATATCTTTATGATTTGTATGGCAGGAAAATTAAAGATATTTCAAAAGGTAAGTGACAAAGATTTTATAAACTGTATGATAATATTTCAAAAGTCATTTACACAATTTTGTTTTTACTTAATACATTTGAAAGGAAAACGAATATAATAAAATGGTTTAATTAGAACATGGATAAATATGTCATGTTTCTACAAAGGGAAATCATGGAATGGCATTAAGGCTTTAGGAATCTTTTACTCATCATGTTTTAGTCCATTTGAGCTACTATAACAAAAGTACCATAGACTGGGTGGCTTGAACAACGTTTATTTTCCATAGTTATGGAGTCTGAGAAGTCCAAGATCAAGGTCCTGGCAGATTCAGTGTCTGTGGGGTTTTGCTTCCTGTTCCATAGATAGCTGTCTTCTCATTGTGTCCTTACGTGGTAGAAGGGACAAAAGCACTCTCTGGGGTCTCTTGTGTAAGGAAATTAATTCCATTCATAAGGGCTCCACCCTCATTAACTATCTAATCACCTCCAAATACCATAACATTGGATATTAGATTTCATTCTATGAATTTTGGGGGAACACAAACATTCAGTGTATAGCACAAGATAACTTAGATTTTTTTTTTAATGTGTGGGGATTTTAAACTTAGTAAGCCATAATTTAATGAACAAAAGTAATTGATAAATTCTCATAATCAAACTATTTCTATGGTATACAGCTTTCAAAAGAGACAAATGAGAAAGTGTGCTACTGAGATAAAGATTTAAAAAATATTTTGGTTAATTTGTAGAGGTTTTTCAAAAGTTTCAAAATCTGCTTTAAAACAAGTTTATTGTATGTTTTGTCAAAATATTTTGTCAAAATCTCCATCTATATTTCTACTGGCACTGATTTGCCAGTCTCTAAAAGCAAAAATACCATGAATTCTATATTTGTCCTACTATTAAATTACCATTAGTAGTAGTTACTACTACTATTTTGTTGTATTTTATTTTATTATTTTTTATTATATTTATTTATACTTAAAAATAACCATTAGTAGTAGTTACTATTATTTTGTTATATATGTTTACATATTTTATTATTTATTATATTATTTTATAATACCCTGTATTTTTACTTTTACTTCTTTAAAAATTTACTTTTCATTACTTTAGTATTAATTACTATTACTTTAATAGTGCTATTGTTAACAGTATCAAAGGTGCTACTGTTATGGTTCTATCACTTCATCAAAACCTTAATTCTATATGTGTTAAGAGGGCCTAAATATTAAGTGGCATACCTTAACTGCAAGGCTAGGTCCGGACAACTAGCTACAGTTGATTTTGGGATATGACTATACTGGATACTCCCATTTATTTCTAATATCTTTGCTTATATTATATAAAAGAAAACTTTTCTGGGCTCTATCATCCTTGGTTAATACTACTTAGTGACCAGTGTGATATTTTGATACTTATTGTTTAACCAAAATATTTTTAAAATCTCTACCTTAGCATAGAGTAGCACACTTCCTTATTTGTCTTTTTTGAAAGTGATATACCATAGAAATTATCCTAATTATTTTTTGCTAAGGATTATATATAGATGTGTGTTTAGAAAGTAAATCTATTGTCTTGATCATTTTTAATGTTCATATTACATATAATTATTTTTCATTTTATTAGAAATTTCCATCAGATAATTTCAAAGCACTTACCCATTATCTAGAAGCATTAGATAGTTATTTACCTGGAAGACATGTAATACGGGGAATGCTTCCTTACGAGCATTTTTTGGGGGATGGGGATACTATCATTATCAAAGTTCATATCTCCTTTCTTACATTTTTTTGTCTGTTCCCTGATCACAGTGACTAATAATTTCCTTGTGATCAATAATATTATATAATCACTCTTAACATGTATTCAATAAATAAATAAATAACACATTTTTGTAAGATCCTATCGCTTTGAGTGTATTTTCAGCTCACCTGGAATTAACAAAAATTGTACTTGAGTAAATTGCTAGAATGAAAGCTATAAGGAACTCTGGCTAAGATTAAAAATTTATATCAGAAATTTTTTTTCCCCTTCCCAAACGTGGTATAACAGAATTACCAAAACCGAAAAGCTCTGACTCTGAAGTGCCATACTTCACACATGCCGGAGGCATTCAGATTCATGCCTCAAGCTTTATGTGTCCCAGAAGTGTGCTATTATCACATTTTAATGCATGCCTTGCCCTGTGTTTTTGCATACTTATAAAAGCTTATGCCAGCTGAAATTAGCCTAGGCAACTACTAACATGTGGAAGCATAACAAGTTCACTGGACTTAAAATACTTAAAGAAATTAATCCTGATGAAGGAACTTCCAATCTGTAGCATCCTAGTCACTTAACATTAAGTTCTTGCATTTCTTTTTCCTTTGTTAGCATGATTTAGTGCAACAAACAATTTAAGTCCCTAAACTTTTATTTGTCATGATCTTCTGGACTTCAGTTTGGGAGAGGTCAAGTGTACTGTGAAAGTTATCTTTTAATTTAAGTAAATGCTAATACTTTGATTTGATGTATGACTTTTTTTTTGTTTGCTCTATATCAGATGAGAAAAAGTCATTTAATAATGTCTAATAGTAAGATTATAGCAATTAGTCTTTATTTATAAGCACAGATTAGAAGAATAATTGTACCAAGGACTAGAAGTAACAGATACAAAAAATAAAAAATTTCTTTTGTTTCTTTTTTGGAATTAGATATACTTTTAAGTTTTTCTCCTACGTTGTGAGAAATGAGCATATTTGACATGACATTAAACTATTTATCAAGTCTGGTAATACTTTAAAAAACCCATAGGAGTTGCAAATTGCTTTGTTTTTAGATTTCTAAACCATAGAAGATTTTAACAAAGAAATTTATATTGTTACATGTGAAAAAGTTCTTCAGCTGTGGTTCCTATATAAATCAATTCTTTCTAAAGTAGAAGTGCACTACCCACTGTGTAAAGATGCCATATTACTATCTATGATCAACAACTAGTATTTCTGCTAGAACATAATATACACATGAAATATACATTCTGTAAAATAATGCCTACCAAAATAACAGGGCTACGAGAAAAATAGGGTTAAGGAAAACTTTAAAATCTATGCACCTTTAAAACAAGAACACTAATTAAAATAATAATATTTTTAGGAGATAATGTAAACAGCCTGGATAGGCATCATCAGAATGCTGCTTGTGGTGATATTAGAACTGCACAGAGAGTTGAGTGTGAGACAATGCAGATGAAAATTGACTGTATGCTTGAGTCAGTGGGGCTTTCGTTAAGGAAGGCACAGGAGGAAGCGAGACTCCACAGAGCATCACACAAGGCCACAGGTGCACCTTTCTGGGAGGGGAACCCCAGTACAATGACCAACCTAAGGTCTTTTCTCTTTCTTGCTGAAGGATATAATTCTACTCCTGTTCTGTTGGCTTCCTTTCCCTAGGAAAAAACATATTCACCCATCAAACGTCCTTATCATACTGATGGCCTTCACCCATTTGCTGATCACATATGAGCTATTTGTTGTTACAAGCACATAACAGGGCAAAACATATTAGATAGTGTCAGATTTTGGGGGGTGGAAAGGGTTAAAAACAAATAATATAAATTTTACTTTATTTTGTTAGTAATGTTAACCTATAAATTTAAGAAGGGATGATTACAACTTAGATGTAAAAATAGTTACAAAACACAAAAATATCTGTAAGCTTACTTTTTCTCCTTTTTTACGTACTTTTGGCTTATACTTTACTTTTTTACTTTGGTTGTTTATTTATTTATTTATTTTGGTATCATTAATATACAATTACATGAGCAACATTGTGGTTATTAGATTCCCCCCATTATCAAGTCCCCACCACATACCCCATTATAGTCATTGTCTTTCCACATAGTAAGATGCTATAGAATCACTACTTGCCTTCTCTGTGCTATACTGCCTTCCCTGTGCCCCACCTACATTATGTGTGCTAATCGTAATGCCCATTATTCCCCTTCTCCCTCTCTTCCAACCCACCTCCCCCAGTCCCTTTCCCTTTGGCAACTGTTAGTCCATTCTTGGGTTCTGTGTGTCTGCTGCTGTTTTGTTCCTTCAGCAATGTTCTTATACTCCACAGATGAGTGAAATCATCTGATACTTGTCTTTCTCCACCTGGCTTATTTCACTGAGCATAATACCCTCTACCTCCATCCATGTTGTTGCAAGTGGTAATATTTGTTTTCTTATGGCTGAATAATATTCCATTGTGTATATGTACCACATCTTCTTTATCCATTCATCTACTGATGGACACTTAGGTTGCTTCCATATCTTGGCTATTGTAAATAGTGCTGTGATAAACATAGGGGTGCATATGTCTCTTTGAGACTGGGAAACTGCATTCTTAGGGTAAATTCCTAGGAGTGGAATTCCTGGGTCAAATGGTATTTCTATTTTGAGCATTTTGAGGAACCTCCATACTGCTCTCCGCAATGGTTGAACTAATTTACATTCCCACCAGCAGTGTAGGAGGGTTCCCCTTTCTCCACATCCTCACCAACATTTGTTGTTGTTTGTCTTTTGGATGGTGGCCATCCTTAGATAGTGTCAGTTTGATGGAGTTGTTTAATAACAATCTTATTCCCACTAACATTCCTCAACATTTTGTTCTGTTAACTTCTTTGGCATAATTATTACATCATAGTGAATCAGAGGAGTCTGTCTCACTCTTGAGGAAAAAGATCATCAGCCTCTTAGGACCTCTGTGAAGCTACTATTTCAATATCCAAACCCTGCATCTTTGTGGATCCTTCCAGATCATAGTAGGTAGTATGAAATTTACCCTAAAAGATTCTGAAATAAGTTAGAATAGCACATTAATAAACTGGTTCCGAGCTCTATGAAACACTGAATGTTCATTTCTTATTCCATTTTTCCCTCCAAATTATGCCCACCAACATTATCCAAAATATCCATATAGTCTCTGACAAGTTTTTCAGAGATTCCAGAAGTCAAATAACAGTATTAACATATTTCAATTACGAAATTTCAATAACAC